TGTGTGTGTGTGCGTACATGCGTGGTCTCTTTTTTTTTTTTTTTTTGGTGAAAGCCCCTGTGTAAGCCCTCCATCCCGGCGATGGTAAGAGAATCGTCCAGATTGAGGGCTTATCTATTGGGCTGCTCCATCTATTGGTGGGAAGCGGCACCTGCTGGAAACCGGGCCCAGCGTCCCATTAAAAAAAAACATGACTCACGGGGATAGTTGTTTGTTGTTTCAGTGGCTGCGGACCTATCTGTTATCTACCCGGGGCTCACTGAAATATTCGCGTGCGTTTCTGTGAGTTGATTGATACCGTGATTGCCCACCATGTGCAACATTGCAGCAACAAGTTGCTCTAGCAATCAGGCAAAATATGAGGGTGTTAGCCACCCGCAATAATGAGAAAGGAGATAAACCCGGTGCAATACGATTAATTGGAGACTTAGGATTTACGCAACACTGGGAAGGACTTGGAGTGAACGATCAAATGTGGGCGCAATCTATTCCCACCCCTAGCTCTACCTGCTCCCCTATATTGACTTTTTTTTTTTCTCTTCAATGACAACCTTCTTTTTTATTTTCGAAAGAACAGGAGAACAGCAAAGAGGGAGAGACAAGAACAAGACAGCAGCAATCTCACTACCTACCTGAATTTGAACATACATCACCATCATAAAAAAAATGAAACGCACAACAACATACAAACTATTACAAAGCGATGTCACTTTTATAACCAAATCAAGATTAATCGACCAAAACCTATTAATATGCGTACCACCAACTGCGGTTGTATTCCGGTTCACATTCCTGAGAGATTGAGGGACCAAATGGGAGAGCAGGCGTCTCTCCTGCCAGAACCTACATATCCACTCTGCGATCACAATCCATTTGGGAAAACAAAAGTCGTTATTTGTGGCCAGAATGGGACCACTCACTCTGCTGTACGTTTGCTAATTGAGTAGATCTTCTCATTCACCTTTACTCACCTTTAAAACTTTAATCAAATCAATCAAATCGCCATATCATCAGCAGAATCTTTTTTTTTTTTATCAGCAAAAAAATGTGCACGACGGGATGATCGTAACACTATGCGACTCAAATTGCAATGATGGTGGATCAACCCTAACATGTATCTGAGCCGGTGGCTATGTGTCTGATTTTCGTTTCAACAGGGGTTTCCCGTTGAAAGGTTCAACGACCGTTGAACCCCCGTTACAATGCCGCGATATACCACGTTTGAACGCGGCACAACGCGGCCCGCAAAAAAAAAAATTCTCAGGCAAAAAAAAATCCAAAAAAACAAAAACAAATGGGGTGTGGATTGTTTTGTGCTCTACATCCCCATATTTTTATTTTTATTTTTTGAGCATTTAAATTATTTTAAAAAAATCAAAAACCTAACCAAACTCAAAACACACCCTTGGCCGCTATCGCCCACCTGCTGTAGCAGGTATCGCACCTGCTGGTGGGTGCAGCTCTCGCATGTTTCCTCGTTGGAGGCTCGAGCATGGATGTGGCTGCTACGGGGTTCCCCGTAATACTATAATGACAATAAAAAAAGGCCTGAAAGGCCGTCCTGTCCAGATTTGACAGGTAATTGAATTGGTTGGGCTTAAAGAATTAGCCTC